TTGTCTTCTTTATTTTGTTATTTCTTTTATTACTATTTTGGTGTTGTTTGGCTTGAGTCATTGTTACTACAGGTCGGTGACCTTTGATGACTCTCACTTTTCGTGAATAAACAATCTTAGTCTTAGTCTTAGGATCTCGTCTGGTGGTTTCCTTCGAGAAAGACAGATCTAAGGTACGACAAGTCTCTTTTCACAATTGTCTTGACGTTTGTTGAGCGAATGTTACGAGTACAGTTTATGCTAAAGGATGAATCATTTCCGACAGACGAAAAAGAATATTTTATTGAGCAGAATATGTGCAGTGGCCAGCGATATTATGCTCTGTTCTCATTATTTGAAAGTTACCATTCTTTGTTCGATGAGAACAAGGAGTAATAACACCCTCACACGGTGTGGACGAAGTCGTGTTGCGTGTCATGCCTTAACTCTATCTTTCTTGAAGAAAACCACCTGACGAGATCCTTGAGAAAGGTCGAAACCGGTCGCAGTATCGTCTTTTGATACTTCCAGAAATAAGTTCTGTTTGAGCCTCTAATAACTAAAAAAGTGATTGTAAAATTAAATTAAGATTATATTATCGAGTCAGGCTTTTCATATTCATACATATTTCCTCATCAAATTTAGAACAATTTTGGAACGTATGCGTGGTCGACGAGGAAGAGCAATGTCTTCGCAAGAAAATCTTATCAAAGATTCAAGTTCCACATCAGATGTCAGTCCACGTTCTAATGTAAATGAGAATTATCCTCCACAACCTTTGAGACCTGGAAGACGAGAAAATCGTCGCCAACGTCGTGCACAGAGACCATCGAATGAACTTGTGAATCAAGCATTTCAAGCCGAAGAATATCAACAACCACAACAGCTATCTTTTAGGTCCCCTATTGAAGAACGACAAAATTCTGATGATGAAATTGAAAAAGATATTAAACATGCTGATAAATTAGTCACTGATGTATCTAAACAACATCGTCGTACAGTCAAGGAATTGCGTTCACAACGTAAACAGAGTCAGACCGACGAGGATAGAGATGGCCGTGAAGATGATGTTGATGATAATCAGAAACATTTGAAAGATCAAATAAAAGAACAACAAGAGATTTTGTCACGAAAAACAGATGCGAGTGATAGAGACGAAAATGATATTGTAGAACCATTAAAAACAAATTTCAGAGATCGATCAATCGATCAAATAATCGAAAGCGCGAGACGCTCAGTAGTGAAAACACCCGATGATGGTGAGATTTATCAGATCTTTTTATTTATCTAATCTGTTCTTTTTGATAGATCTAACGTCTCGTCCATCCTCAACGATGGGCTCTGCTCGCCGTGGTGAATCAACATTACAAAAAATTTTAAACCGGCGAGATGTTCGACTAGATCGAGATCAAGTAACTACCTTGGGTGATACAACAACAATCGGACAGCATGGCTCTCGTTTTGATTATGCCCATTCAATCTCAACATCGTTCGATGAAGAACGTCAAAGACAAATAAGAGATAAACAGCAGGTGTTAGACAAAAGATTATATTCTTTTACAGAACTTTTACAGTTCTTTTCTTGGTTTTTGCACAAATTTAGACTCGTTGGCAAAAAACAGCTAAATTAGCATTAGCTAATAGTCTCATTCCACCACCATCTGAACAAGAAGATTTTTTCATGAAAGTATGGACTGATAATGAGGTTGTACAAGATAAACAGCAGGCCGATATTAGTGCACTTGTTACTACTGCACCTACTACGACAGCTGATATCGTGAGTGCTGATGGTACACCACAAATAAAGGTATGTACTCGAGGTCATATCAGTTTATACATTAAAGCTTTTACTCACTAGTAACAGTATCTATATGGAAGTTAAGCTATTTTTGCTTGTGTTTCCTTTACTATGTAACACTATTTGAGTAAAAAATAAATTCTATTCACGTTATTTCAGCCGCCTGAAATCGAGCAAAACATCACTCCTAAAGAAGATGGTATGAATGATATATATTCTGCTTCATTGTTTAATTATTTAATATTACTTTTCGTTTAGATACACAACCACTATTACCTCAACCAGTTTTTGGTGAATTACAACCATTACTATATCAAAAAGCGGAGCCGATTTCGACCGATGAACAACGTGATCATGAAAACAAAATATTTAAATATGTTATCGGAGGACAATGTATGTACCGATTGAACTAACTTCGTTTTGCATTAGTTTTTTTCTATTAATTGTAGTAAGTTTGGAAGAGAAATTAGGTGCAGGTATCGTTCACCCAAGATTACTTGAAGACGAAGGTATTTATGTTGGAAAAAAACCAGTTGTACCAACAAATTCCGTCTTACGTACGGAAAAACGAATTCTTCAAGAAAAAAACTTGGAAAATAAGGTGTGCGCAGTTTTTTTAACGCTGAATGAGATTTCATTAATTAATCATCAAGTTAATTTTTAGCCAGCACAACGATGGTTTGGTCCAGATGGTCAAATAGTATCATTACCTGATCCAACAAAATTTGTGCCAACTCGTCCACTTGTAGATGAAACGTTCGATGCAGCCATCAGCAAAGAATTTCATAAAGTAAATCAAGACGTCTTCTTTTAAAACTGCAAATAGTGGCATTTGTTTACTCGAATATTATGTGAATTAGTCAATTTCTAGAAATAGCAGTGCTCGCATTTGATTTTTAGTTTGCTCAGGCTACATTTTTTTTTCAGGCTTATGTGATGGATGATGTAACACCAGTAAGTCAAACTGGCATCGAACGTTATCGTCTCGATATCGATATTGGTAGTATCGCCTTTACACACCATCATTTATTCAGTGTAGAACATGTATTAGCTATGAAATTAAAACAAATGTATCATCATTATGTTATTAGAAAACAACAACGACTTGTCGACTTACTTTCTGAAAAAGTAAAAGCGTTTCTATGATATTTGTATAGTTTTTTATAATGTTTTGATATTTGTAGATAAAAGCATTAAAAAATGCTGAAACAAATTGTCGTACAATATTAGAACAAAATCGAGTATGCTCTCATTTTTTTAAAGAAAAACTGTTTATTATGTATGTGTTCTCCGTTATTTATAGTATTCGGAGAATGCTTTACCAAACGAAGTGAATCGTTTAAAAAATTATCAAAATGAATTACGGTATGTTTCAACAAATATCTGCAATCTATTCTTGCTGTAAAAACCAGAATCGATTTTCTCTGTAGGCAAGCACGAAATCAACGTTGCAGTGAAATGAAACTTGATCGTCAATTATTGGAAAAAATGCTTGATACATGGAGAAAAATTAAAGATATAAGAATAGCACGGGGTTATACTACAACGCCAGTTAAACTTATTATCAAACAGTATGTGCATACCAACAGTGTTCTGTTAGTATAAAATAGAAAGCTGTCGTACTCATTTCTAGACTATCAGGAAAACGTGCAAAACATTCTGAAGTAATTCAACAACAAATAGAAGATGAAATAGCTGATGAAATTACATTAGCACGTGAAAAATATAAATTTGAAGAAAAAGAATATAATAAAATAGTTAAAAAACGAAAATTACAATCAATTCGAAAAGTGAGTTACATTTGTATTTGGAGATGTATAGTTTCTGATAATCAGTTTGTTTTCCTACATAGAAAGAAGCTCAGAAACGTTTAGAGAAGAAGGCAAGAACAACGGTGGAGTATGATCAGGTTAGTGTTCATGTTATTTTCGATGTTGTCAAAAGTTTTTGAATATCTATCATTATATATTTGTAGACCGATACTAATGATTTGGCAATAGTCAACGAAGAAGATATTCCACCGAGATCGAAACCAGTGGCTAGAGAAGATGATGAGATACGAACAATAGTACTAGATAAATATAAGAATACTGTGCGTCCACCAGGTAACAAACGAATTGTTAAAAGTAACAAGGAACTACTTTTAAAAACACAAAAAAATAACATATAAAAAATAGCAATCATTTCAACTAACATTCACTTTTTTCTAGATGAACCTGAAGTATTACTTGAACTTGTTTATTCAGAGCCAGTTACAAATGATCTAAATTGTTCAGCGTATGTATATTGAATATTGAATATTGAATATCATAAACTAATTATAATAATTCTTCTAACATTAAGTATATTTCTCGTGTTTAGAAATGAACAACAACGTCGTCGACAACTACAATTTTCATCGGACATTTTTGTACGAATATTGATCAATAATAAAGTGATTGCCAATACGACAAACATGTATGTGTAATTTGAATTTGTCAATTATTTTCCATTATTATATATTTGTTTTAGCTCATTAACAAATGAATTTGAAGGAAAAATTAGCCAAATATTTCCTTGTTATATTGTTCGCATACCAGATACAATTAAAATTGAAATATATGAAAATCGTCTACGTTCACTGTTATTAGCTGAAGTATATTTACCCATACCTGAAGCAACAATTACTAGTGAAAATTATAAATTAGAGGGAATTGAGTTTAGTTCAAATACTCTTATTCGAACAAATAATGCTGGTGTTGGTGCAGGTATTTCAAAAGACAAAATGATCTTTAAAATTTTAACATATCCTCATTATTACAGGTGTACCATCGCCATATATCGACGTTATTGATAGACCCAACTTATATCTCGAAGGTATTCTAAATGCAGCTGTTGCATGGGGTGTTCAAGATGGTGATGTACTAGTTCCAGCCGGATACACAAAATCACAAGATCCTTTCAGGTATGTAATGTTTATTACCTCTCCATCTACGCACTAAATAGACACTTACTTATTTGATTTTTAAGACGTCAAAAAGATGTTAATATTAATGATCCAAAAAGTTTAATTGAATGGATAAATAAATCCAATTTAGATCCATATGATCCGGATAATGCATTTTTTCTTAATTTAGTTAAAGTATGTTTAAAATTAACTTTGAATTTGTATAGTATATTTTCATTGCATATCTACAGGATTACATGGGACTTGATATACGTTCATCATCGTTATCGGATTTCAACACATTACAACATTATCGTCTCAATCAAGAAACTGGTATTGAATTAATCGATGATCAAGAAATAGATAACTCGTTAAGATTCAAATTATTACAATTACGTAAAGAGAATATACCTGATTTTAAAGACTGTAAAAACATACCACCATATGATTATCTTGTTAGAATACAAGATACGGCATTCAAGGTTAGACTTTAAAAAGTTATTTTAATTACAGTTTTTTTCAAATTTTAAATCCGTTCTAGAATTATATTAATCGTCGAAAAGAAATAATCGAGAGTGAACAAGAACAACGATTCAATAGAATTGATGCTGTTCGAAAACATGGTGAAAAAAATCTTCGTAAAGTATGTATGATTAGTAGTATGATACATTCGTTGAATACTTGACTTTTTTTTAAAGATTCGAGAGCAAATATTAGCTCGACTAAATCTATCACGTTATAGAAAATCATTTCAAGATATGGTTATTGAAGAATCGGTGCCTAATATTGGGTAATTTTAATTTCTAGTTATATTATATTTGAGAGTGTATGATATTTATACTATAGAGCTTTGAGTGGTGCACTTCAACGTTTATACATTGAACCTCGAAGACCACTGTATCCTACACGTAAAGAAAAGAAGAAAATAGCCGGTTTCACATTAGTTGGACGAGAAGTTTATATATTAATCAATATTATTGGTGCTATTGATTTACCTATTCGACGAGATGTTATTGACCGGTATGACTTTTGTAGAGTAAAGGGTGAACATATTAGAAGACTCTCTCTAAATACAAGACCCCCGTTGAGCAAAAGATACAAAAACCATATTACAACACTTGTTACTTGGTCAGGATGTAATTCTTAAGGATCTTTTTGTCAAGGTTTTTTTTTAAAATCCTGCTTTGAACTCGAAAAAGCTAAAAAAAAGTCGCATTTTGTCATTCAAAAATGGTCCGGACAAGTTACTCACATATTTCTCAGAATTATATTTCAAACAGGTTTAAGTTATAGTTTTTATTAAAATGCTTCCTACACACTAAATTAATGGAAAATTCTAACAGATTTAGATCGGATATTGGAAACCAACGAGGATTTTTTATCTGTGCAGTTTCACGTATCCAGAAATCAGAACTTCATCATGAGAAAAGAAAGCTTTTATATTAAATTTAGAAACTAAGGAAGTACCTTAAAAATTGAAAAAATTTTCTTAGGAGAACAGATTCTAATACTAGTAAACTAACTCTATAATAATTAGTAGAGCATAAGACTCTAATAATTAGTAAAGCATTCCCTATAAACTGCTGAAATTGGGGGCTGGAAATCTGAACTTAGTCTTTTTTCAAAGATCAAATAGAAAACCCTTCTAAAACCTTTGTTCGTCCGGACACAATAGAAGATTCGTGTCTTAGAATATGTTCACCCCTTTAGACTAAATTCAGTTATGTCATCGATTCAATTTTTTTTAAAACTTTTTTAGGGAAAAAACGAAGCGAACTAAAGTGAATGAACGTGTGGTAAGTTTGAGAGGCGCTAGGCACCTTTCCAACAAATATTTAAACTATACACTAAAAAGATTTGTGAATATTGTTTGAATATAATATTTAGAGTCTCGTTCGTCCATATATTGAAATTAATTTTCAAAATAAAATTTATCGTACAAGTACAGTAGATGGACCCAACGGTAGTTGGAACGAAGAACTTCGTGTTCCATTTAGGTATGTTTATGTAAATATAATTGTGAATTATTTTCTAGTCGAATATTTGATTTTGTGCATAATTTTTGATGACAAAATTTCCATGTCCAGATCTGTCCTTGTTGCTTATATGATTTGATGAATTTTGTTGTTAAACTATATGATGTTAAACTCAAACGATTTAATTCTAGTAACCATTCTTGTCCATCTCGTGTTATTAATGATTGATTTGTTTTTGTTTCTTGTGGTTCTCCCCATAACACAAATTTAAACGCGTTCAATGGTTCATCTAATGGATTTTTATTCCAGTTAAAATCATACATTGGAATAATCTGACCATTTTCAACATAAAGTGGAATTTGATCTAATCGACTAACATCTTGATCAATAAAGTGACTACCACTATATGTTTTCAAATCAAATATATTCATCCAACCACCTTTCGATGATTTTGGTAGCCAAACACGTTCAGTATCATTCGGTTTTGGATCTTTAAAAACGGGTGCTACATAAAAGCTAGGTCCAAGAAAATAGGTATATTTTAAAAATGTTTCAATATCATCACACGGCATCATTAATGTGCCTTTTCCACTCATTGCTGCTTTTGTACCAAACGTATATAAATATGGAACAATTGAATAATGTAGATTAACCCAAGAACGATAAATCTCAACTGTTTCATTGTCAAATATCCATGGACGATGTTCACCATTGCCACCATTTTCCATAAATGAAGATAATGCACCAATTGCTGTCCATCGTAAAAATAATTCTTTTGTTCTACCTAATGTTGCATTGGGATCAGCACGATAACCACCAATATCTGAACCAAAACCGACATAGCCACGTCTACCACTTTCAAGCATATAACGTAAAGCTGTTTGTAAACCTTTATATGTTCCATCTTCATCTCCTACCCAACCCATAAAGACAACATCACGTGGTGAAAAATCTAAATCTGCATCAACTGGTCGTGACATAATTAACGCGTCATCACCAACAAGTTGACGTAAAATTTGAAATGTATCATTATAATAAGCTGTACGATATTTTAACCATGTGATATTTGGATCCAAAAGTTCAATAATATAAGGATCACTACCATCAGCCTAAAAGTCAAAACTACATTCCATTTAGAGTACTCATTCAAATGATTACTCACTTTAAATGCATGAATAGGACCAACTGCTTTTGTTAAATTGCTTATTTGCTGATGCCACCAATCAACAGCTTCAGGATTGAAATAATTGAGAAGTCGACCTGTTAGCAAATAAAAATAAAGTGTAAAACAACTAGTGCATCATCTATCAATTTACCTTCTCCATGCCACCATTTTATTGTTTTGTTGAATAAATATCCGTGTGTTTGAGCATATTCATAATTAGGCGAGTCGACATCAACAAATGATGTCATCCATAATACAATTTTGACATTATCGGCGCGTATTTCATCAAGTAATTGTTTGGGATCTGAAAAATTGTGACTATTAAATACAAACGTATTAAAACCCGTTGCCCATCTTGAATCGATATTTATTATTCCAAATCGAATATTGTAATTTTTATAATCATGAAACAGTGTTTTCACCTCGATTTGATTTGTATGTGAATTACTTAACCATACCATATGATAATGAGCCCATTCAGCATAGGGCAATTCACTACTAGACCAATTGATGAAGAAAAAGTATAATAAAAAATAGAAAAAAATTCTCATATTTTAACGATTCTTAATCTTTTGTTTCGCTTATGAAGATTATTCGACTTTCATCTTCAAAAAACTAACGATAGTCATTATAAAAGCTGCTGATGTGAATTTCAGCATCTGGACGTCTTTCAACTGTTCTTTGTCTTTTGTTTGTTCAAATAATCCAGATGACCTTGTATTTAGGCCTCCCGACAACGATTTTACTTCAACATCGTTACAACGTTGTCGTGATATTATTTATATAAACGTATTTGATGAAGTTGAAGTTAATTTACCAATTATTGAACGTGAACGAGAACAAACTATTCATAAACGTATCTCTCGAAATTGGTTAGGCTCAATTAGAATACCATTTGCAAATGTTTACATTAATTCACGTGTATGTTCTGTATACAATAGAAAAAATTCAAATTAATCATTGTATTTTTGTATTTAGTTAGAAGGTACTTATATAGTGAATGTTCCGAGTCCATTACTTGGTTATACACGAGACCGAGGATCATCACAAGCACGATTTTACTCAAACGCAAATCTTGATGTGCCACTAAATCCAAGTCTTTTAAGAATGTTCATCACAATGGAACCTCAATTAATACCACCTGAAACTTTAGTACAAACGGTACGTATGTCTTCAACGAGGTTCTACAAAATACAACAGATTAGTTTCGTCAGGCATTGCAAATACAGTACGAACGGAAACACTGTACCGTATCTAGACCAAAAAAATGCTGTCTCGTTTCTTCGCGGAAGGACTTTTTTCGTACAGATAAGAATACTGGACACAAAAATATGATTTACACTCCTTTTCACTTGACAGGTGTGAAAAATACATGAAATATATTTTAGATACACATTGCTCTTTTTCTCAAAGCCTACAAAGCTAAGCATATGTATAAGTTGATCACGAGCCTCTTAATCCTATTCCAAAAATCACTGAAATCAATCATCATAAACTCGTTGACTAGTTAATCACTGGCTTTCTCTTTACGCAAGGAAAACAGGCAAACTCTATTGCCATTAGAAAGCAGTGCACTCGGTTGTTTTTTGAACATCTTCTGAAGGAAAAAACTTAGAAAGATTGGATTTTCGCCCTATCGAAGTAAAAAGTTGGATCTATTCGCCTATGTGAAAATCCAGTTCGAATGACAGATCCACCATGGTGGACCTTATCGAACAAATTTTTAGGAACTACCGTGAAAAATATGTGTTAAGCTTTTCGTTCTACATACGTAGCTGGATAGAGCGACATCTGCTCTACAAAAATACACAACAAACTACTTTTTTCGTTCGGCGGATATCACGATTTTGCAGAAACAATCTGAGTATTCTCAGATCCACCGGTTTTTTAGAGTTTGAAGCTACAGTAATATATGGAAACATAGGCTTTTGAGTATGCTGATTCTCGAGCAATGTTTAGTCTTTGATCAGAAAACTTTCATAACCCACAGTTATACATAAGACTTGAACCTTAGCGTCTTAGAATGATCTTAGAGAGTTCAAATGCAATAAATTTGTGACAGAACCTGTGATAGTGTCGAAAGCTCGCCTTTGAACGTAAAATGATTTTACTAAAATTCTTTTCAAGTATTTTAAATATAATATTTGCCGGCTTCTCCCAGAATAGAGCATCACATTCTTTCTTCTCTGATAAGATAGTGATACACAGAGAAGGAGAGAAAGAGAAAGTAAGATGCTAGCAACTCAAAAATTCAGCAGATTTTTTCTTGCGTTTCTTTTGTCATGATTAGATAGAGAACTAGGTGCATTGCCTAGACAAAAACCAATTTTAGTTTTTTAAAAGGTATTTTCAAATGAAAAGATTTTAGAATACTGATTTTTTGAAAAGTGCCAAAAATGGGTAGAATTCTGAAAAATAAGTAAAAGTTCCATGTTTATCCTTTTTTTAAATTCTAAAAGTATCTTTCACTCTTCAATCTCACATCCTTCGCTTTATCAATCCTAAAGATTGAGTAAAGAGATAATGATTTCTCGTTTTAGCTCGATAGTACAGAATCTTTTGAATTGCTAAACCATGCACGTGAATGGGTACAAGAATTAATAACCGCATTCCCTGATCGTGATTATAAAGCAACTGTGTCAGATATAACCGGTCGTGCCGTATTTATTACACGTTTTTTACACCCATTGACACCACCACCGCTTTCCATCGACGATTCCCTACCTCCACAAGTAGCTGCCTCCACAACAGCTGCACCACTTGCTGCAAATGAAGATCGATCAAATATTCAGAGTGTAGGTCTAACGAGTCTGACTAGAAAATCGATTATTTTATTCTAATCGATTTTATTCTTGTATTTAGCAACGAGTAGCTCGATTTGTATCGATGATTCCATTTTTATCTGATTCAATAGCTTTTCCGGGCATATGCGACATTTGGGAAACGTCGGCCGTAAGTGTCGAAATAATAGTTCTGATTAATAATATCATATAAAAATATTCAAATATTTTTTAGCAATTTCTACAAACAATGGCAGGTGATGATGAAGAACATGCAGTATTGTTAAATAATTATTTTACATCATTAAATAAACGAGCATGGATAGCACTAGGTATATCTAGGATATTTTTAAATGTAGACAGTATATCTGACGATCTTTTGATTCTTCTTTTCAATAAAGGAAAATCGATTTACAGTGGGCCATGCTGTTTTGTTCTCACACAGGAGGGTGATAGAAAATTTTCGTGTTGGTCGGTGTCCGATGGGGTTGGTGTATCCACAAGAGATACATGGAATCAAATACAAAATATTTATCTATTGGCAAATGAAGAAAATGTACGTAATTCAAATTGTTTAACCCTGATACGACTAGGCATGCACTAATCCGATAGTTCGGTGACCGAACGATTCGCTACCAAACGCATTCGGCCTGGAAACTTGATGCGACCGAACATGTTCGGACGAAGATTGCAAATACGATAGTTTATATTTTCTCATCGGAGATATCGGCGAGCGCTCTGTTGACGAATTATTAGGACAAAATACCATAAACCTTATAAAGATACATTCAAATTACGGCTGCAACTTTCTGGCTACTTCATTTGCACAGTGAGGAAAAGCATTTTTGCATGAAAACAAAGTAAATCAATCTGTTATAGAGGCCACATTAGTAAAAGTATGCTTTAGTTAGCGAGTAAATAAGATATAACGGAAACTAAAGATACTTTGAACTTCCTGAAATAAAACAAACATAAAATTGCTGCTCTAACTCAAACTTTTCTTTACATGACTACCTACGGCTATGGCGTAATCATGGCTGCTCCTTCGTTTGATGTGATCTTCACCATTTTTTCTGTTTTACAGAGATTTCTTTCATGTGTTTTTTCGCTCTCATGTTCTTAGCTTTGACAAACTGTTTTTTTAAACCTTTGGTAGCAAACTGCTGATCGAACATGTTCGGAAGCGATCCAGTGGAACACCCATTCGCTCACGTTGTACTTTAGTTAGCCTATTTTCTCACTGGTTCACTGGTTTTCACACTTCAAAAGCTTAAATTTCATCTCGTTTGTCTTTAGTCCAGACTAGGCATGCAACAATTCTAAGCTAGGGCTCGCTGATCGGCACCGAACGGTTTGTTACCGAACCGTTCGGTGCCGATCAGCGAGCCCTATCTGGGGATTATTACATGCCTGGACACGACCGCCTTTAGGGCAACCATTTGTTATCCACCTGGAGTCCGCACGGATCCCAGGCTGATAAAACAGGAATAATACATGAAATTATTACTATTTTATAATGTGACTGTGAAGGCTCTCAAGGAGTCTTGACAGTAAGAAGAAAAAACACAAAAGTAATTAAATTTGAATTTTATTGATCTCCTCTTTTTTTCATTTTCTTAACACTCTCTATTTTCAAAGCGTTTCAAAACATGTATCGCATATTCACCATTCATACGTGGGTAAATCCATGAGTATCCAACCACTTTTTAAAAAAAGTTTTATTTGATTTTTTTCGTGGTAGTTAGGTGGAAAGTGGTCAGAAAACAGCATTGGCTGAAAAAACTTGCAGATTTCACCTAAAACAATGGATATTCTAATCGTTTTCTAGAAACATTTAAAGAAGACCCCTCTTCAGGTGGTTACAAGCTTTTCAGCTCATATTTTGCCTGTTAGTAGGGAACTACTAGATTAGCACAACCTCCAAAAGGTTCTTTTTTTTTTATTGAGCTTTGGCCAAGATATGAATGTTTCAAAATATAGGGATTTTTCACATTCATATTTTATACAAATAATGTGTTTTGAAACGTTCATATCTCGGTCAAAGCTCAATAAAAAAAAGAGTCCTTTGGAGGTTGTGCTATTCTAGTACACTCTAAAAAAAAAAGGTATTTCAAAAAACCCTAAAAAGTATTCGCCATTTGAGAAAAACCAAAAAAAGGTATAACCACCCGTGAAAAACGTTTAAAAGGTTTAACCATTTGAAACATATCATAACTGTTTAAAAGTTTCTTCTTCTTATCAAAAAACTAATTTTCGTTTTCTAAAATACGGCTAAACTATGTTCTGTAAAACGGTTGAGGTTTCTTCATGTCAC